ATTGCTGATCTAGACAGCTTAAAAGTTTTTGGAATACCATTCACTCTAAGAAATATTTTTGAAAAAATAAGAACAAGACAAAGTAACATCACATTTTTTTAAATTGTTGAAGCATTTGAGGTATTTCCTTAACACAATGGATTCAGGGGTAATTGAAAAAACCCATAGGCATGTTTCAACTGTTAAAATGTCTAACGTAGTATGACTCTAAATACGTGTAGGAAAAATAAGTGTCTTAGTACAATTATCATCATTACTTTTAATCCTCACCTGAAGATATTTTTTCCATTGCTTTTCAGTGTGTGTGGAAGGGAGACAGGGAGGAAAAAAACATCGATGTGAGAGACACATCGATGGGTGCCTCCCGTGCCCACCCCGGCGGGGGTGGGGATCGAGCCTGCAACCGAGGCCCTTGGCCGGAATCAACCCAGGCGGCCAACGTTCTAGCAACTGAGCCAAACCGGCTAGGGCAGTACAGTAACTTTAAAAAGCGATATAATACCTAGGTTAGTTTAGGCTATGTTTTTACTTAAGATCTATTGGAAACCTAGTTTAGGGTACTGTGAATATTTTCAAAGTTCTGTTTTTGGCCTCTCTTCTTTTACGTTCCCTTCCCAGGAACTTCCTTTACTTCCCATGCAGATTATTAGCTTTTTTTATCCTTTATGGGAAATTTTTCAATATTTTTTATATTTTTTGGCTTTTTACTTTTTAAATATTTGAAGTAATTTTAAACTTACAGAAAAGATGATAGTGCAAAGAACCTCTATATACCATTCACTCAGGTTCCCCGATTCACACTTTGCCACATGTGCTTCATCATCCTGTCTCTCCCGTCAGGTTTTGTTTTTTTTTAAACATATCTTTATTGATGTTAGAGAGAGGAAAGGAGGGGGGGGAGAGAGAGAAACATCAATGATGAGAGAGTCATTGATGGGCTGCCTAGCCCGCAACCCGGGCATGTGCCGACCAGGAATCGAACCCCAATCTCCTGGATCCTAGGTCGATGCTCAACCGCTGAGTCACGCCCGGCCAGGCTTCCGTCAGTTCTTACACATATAGCGAGACACACACACACACAATATACTTGTATAGATTACATGCACACACACAAGTGCATACATATATGTACCTATATATACACATACGTGTTTTTCCTGAATATACAGGATGCCTTATCACTCCTACATACTTCAGTGTGTATTTCCTAAAAGGCAAAGCACAACCATCAAAATCAGGATAGGAACATTGATAGACCACCACCACCCAATTCATAGAGCCTCTCCAAACTCCCAGTAATGTAATTTATAACAAAAAACAAATCAAAACAAACCAGAATTACTTTTTCTTCTAGCTCAGTATCCAGTCCAGGACACTGCATTTAACTTTCATGTCCCTTAAAGCTTCTTCAGTGTGGGACAGTTCTGTCACTCATGGCCTTGGCATTTTTGAAGACAGGCATGTAGGAGAATGCTATTCAATTTGAATTCGTCTGATGTTTTCTCATGAGATTTTTCTAACTCCATCAGTCTTACATTTATTAGTATTCTAATGTAAGGAATTGCTTTCCTTTACCCTCATTTATCTAGTTCATTCTTCATTTGTTTATATCGGTATGGACTAATGGATTTGTTTTATTCAATGAGTTATACTACCAGTATTATTTCTTTTGATGCTTATATTGTCCCAAATTCAGCCAGGAAAAACCCTTTTAAGCTGATCTTGTATTATTTTGACAAGTCCCTGTCATTTTTTGAGCACTTTGTTAGTTTCTGGTACAGCAAGATGTTTCAGGCTCAGCTTACACTTTCTATGGGAACTTTGCAATCAGCCATTTCTCCAAAGAACTCAGGTACTGTTTAGAGTAGCATTTAGAAACAAAGATCTGGGAGCAAAATACGCATATTACCCCCAGGGTGTTATTGCTTCTGGGTTGTCTGGCTCTGGAGAAAGGCATCTGAACAAGACTGTGACTCTAGGGTCTGAGGGCTGTTGGCCCAGGAATAACGGGAGAGGATGCCCTGCCTTGGGGCGTTTCTTTTCTGTGGCTAGACATGGCTGAGCCGAGGCCACGTGCCCTCAGCTGTCCCCATGTCACTGAGCAGTTCTCTGTGACTGCCACACTGAGCTCAGACCAGAGCAGTGCCCAGGGCCACTTTAAGGTGCCATTATCAAGTCAGCTTTTGTTTTAAATAAATCACCTCCCATACAGCAGCCCAGGGACTGGGCCCTCATTTCCTCCCAGGGTGATAACAGACTGATTTCCTGTCCAAAGCCTGGTACTCCAGTGAAATTAAATCACACTCAACCTCTTCTCCAGCATGAATCAAGTGCTTTGTTTCTGGTCCTCTGGACACCTGGAGCAGCTATTCATTTCCTCCCTGCCTGTCCCTGTCCCACCACAACCACAAATCAGGTTGCGATTGTCACAAGCCCTGTGAATGATCTGCAGAACCTCCCTCTGATCCCTGACCTGCACAGCCACTTCCCTCTCCTTCACAATCTCCCTCTCATATGCACAACTTCTCTGAGATAGCAGTAGCAATGTGGGTGGGTGGGCATCGGCCCATTTTACAGATGAATGGATTCAATACATTTTTATGTAATTTGGCCCAGCTAGGGTCTTTGGATACTGGTGGAAGAGGCAGGAGGGAACCTCGATCTTCTTGTTCAATCCTTTCACACCAGGACACACAATTGTCCCCTCTTCCCCCCTTCTGCCACACCCTAGAATTGACACCACCTGCAGTAGGGGCCTTGCTAGCCTTGTGCCATGGAAAAGTGCCAGCCCTCCTAGTCCCAGGCCCTCAAGCCCTCGGCCCTCAAGCCCTCCGTGGTCCTTGCTGGGCAGGTGGCACGTAGGAATGAAGGAATTTGTCATCCATCCACACTGCCTCAGCCTGATGGAGGAGGCAGAGGAGAGTCATGTTTAGGTGGGTGAAAAGTCCAGAGCAGGGGTGCAGTCACTCCCTGATTTCTGACCCACAGGAACTGCAATAATTGTTTTAAAGCTGCTTAAATTTGAGGTTACATAGCACAGGTAACATTTCTTCTCCCAATCAAACGGTAAGATGTGATAGACCATACAATTTGTGTTTCTAGGACAAATAAAACAAGTACCCTTTGCACTGCTTTACAGTTCCAAATTTTGCACTATCACAAGATCAATGGGTTAAATTCTGGACAATAAAGTCAATAGTGGTCTAGCATAAAAGCATGTGATTAGGACTGTATTTTCACAATCACCTCTGATTTATTCCAAACAAGATCTGACAAACTTTTGGTTCTTTGACTTCCAGGAGTTAAACATTACTATTTTCTCTCAACACAATCAAGAACAATTAATAATATTTAAATTGCTAATAAACCTATATTGCTATTAAAGGAATAGTCAAAAAAAAAATTTTTTTTTAAATATATATTTATTGATTTCAGAGAGAGGAAGGGAGAGGGAGAGATAGATAGAAACCTCAATGATGAGAATTATTGATCGGCTGCTTCCTGCACGCCCCTGACTGGGGATCGAACCCGCAACCCAGGCATGTGCCCTGACCGGGAATTGAACCCCGATCGCCTGGACCTAGGTCGACGCTCAACCGCTGAGCCATGCCCAGCCAGGCCAAAAAAAATTTTTTTAAACTCCCCAAAAGAATGCCCAAGACAATTTTAAAGATATTTCTAAAACTGCATCCATGAACTGCCAAACATTATACCTGGTACAGAAGAGGCATCAGATAAATATTTGTTGAAGTGGGTGGTAAAAATTTATAAGCCATCAATTTCAAAGCACTGTGACTATAGCATAAATGTCATCAAATGCCAGTTCAACTAATGATTCTAGAACACAACAGAATTCATCTGTTCTGAGCCCCCTGCATTCAAAACTCCGTGTCTCCTCCTGAACTTTCTTCCCAAATCTTTGGTGGGAGATTGGTATGTGAATCCTGAAAAGCTCTGAGTAACTGCTAATTCAAGGCGACAGGTTACATGTTTATAACTTCTTCTTGTTGAGCCTCTGTTACTAAAAAGGGAATTTTAAAATGTTTAACACGACGACAGAGAATGGAAGAGAAGTGAGACATCCAGGACAATATATTTCAAAAAACTGTAGGATAATGAAAAACAGACTAAAAATAGAAAATGAATTAACAAAACTAAAGAAGGCTCAAACTTAAATGGCCATGGAGAAAGATTAAAACTAGAAGTGAACCTTAAAGAATCCCTAGAGGTTTGGAATTTAGAAGCACCACCAAAGTCATGCAAAGAACAAGGCTAAATATGAATGAACACAGTGTGGTCTTTTAGGTCCCCTTATTTGCAAACTTGGGCAAGTTTCTTAACCCCTCTGAGCATCGTTTTCCTCATTTGTAATAAGAGTAAGAAAATTCTATTTCATATGATTATCATGAGGATTAAGCAAGTCAATACATATCAAGTGCATAGAACAGTATTATTAGCACATGTAAGCATGCAAAAAAGCACACTTTATTATTTTAAACCTTTGATGCTATTTTCTTTGTAATTATAGTGTATACATTACTGTGAGAATCATTTAAAAATCACCTCTGGGGAACACATGAGTGGTGAACAAATAAAGGCACTTTGATCCTTGTGACACAGCTCCATGATAAATATACCACAGCACCTTTGCTTTGTCTCAAACCAAGACTAACAGGCACGAGTGCCACAGAAAAGCACTAAGACAGTAAAGCTGGAGAAGGGGTGGGAGAAGATGACTGAAAAGAAGTGGTTACCACACTGTAGAGAGTGGGAGAGGTGCCTCTAAGTTCCCTACGTCATTCTCCAAGTCCATCGAATGGCTCTCCATTACTACCTATGAACAAACAAGGGCCTGATGACCACAGTCACGAGAAGCAAAACATAAAGGAGTTGACTGAAAATGAGAACTAAAACTCAACAATCATAAGTATCACATAAGAAATGTTATCAGGACATCTTAGTTTGTGCTATCTAAAAATCATTTATTGCAATGACAAAACTAGAGGTTAACTACTTTTTTATTGTTGAATCATATTGTAAACTCTACATCTACAGTTTAATCAGGAAGAAATGCTTTGCATTTACATCAAGGACACATTAATTCTAGTGGAATAAAACAGACACAGACAAAAGACCAAATACACATTGGAGAAAAAAAAAAAAAAAAAAAAAAAAAAGTTTTACCTGGTCCTACTTTTGCTATTTTGGACCATACCTTTCCTATTAGAAAATTGATCTTACATACATAGAAAGTCTGATTTATCATCCCACATTTTTAAACTTTGAATGCAGCTTCTCACAATTTCTAACTATAAACAAAAGATTGAAAACAAAATGGGAAAGTTTAAAAACAAAGAAAATGAGATTGCTATTACCTTACAGCAGAAAAGTTGAGTAAAATGTGCCCCCTGTGTGGCTCATCTCAAAGAAACACTTTTACTCAGAGGCAAGCATTTCTGACCTAGGAGTGTTTTGCACTCCCTCTGCAGTACCAGGCCTATAAACATTTCTGGTAAAATGCCAAGTGAAAAATGTCTACAAAATATCTACAAGCTAAATATCACAATAGGGCTAATTCAAATCAAAATTGTGTGCTGGTCTAAATATACACTTTCAGCTCTTTCCCTTTTTCAAAGTATCTTTTTATTTCAGATGATATTTTAAAATAACTTACAGTTTTAGTGTACTTTATGGTCAAAGACTGCAAAATTAGCAACTCAAATGAGTAAGTTTAAAGTTTTTGTTTTACTTGATTCTATTGAAATTTCAATTAATTAACCAAGTTATACATGAGGTAAGTTTTAGCTAAAAAAATAAATCAACCACAAAGATAAAGTTAACCACTTCAAGAGTACACAAAAATCATAATGCCCACCTCATATTCAGAGTTCACAAATTCATATATTCACTGTGTATCCAAGGAAAGTTTATGTAATTTAAAAGCAAATACTTTCTGCACTTTAAAATCAAATTATGTTGGGAAATAGAGGGCAAAAACACTTGGCAAAATTTGTTTTTGGTAACAGAGGACAACGCAATAAGGAATCCAAATGAAGCTAAGACCAGTGTGTAAAGTTTCTAACTTCTAAACAGACACACACTTATTTATCTAAAAAATATTTTGGTAGCAAATTGGATTGACAATATTTTTAGCTGTAAATAAAAAGTACAGGTTTCCAATTATAGCCTTCTAGCTAGCTAAACAGCTTTAAAAAACAGGTATAGCCAGCTAACAGTTCTCTAAAACATGTACATATATGTTGCACTAAAAGATCCCTGCTAAAATTCAGCTGTATTTAAATGGGTCTTACTGAAGTAGGACATTCATGATACTAGAAATCTTTTAAAAAGTGAGTACAATAGGGCTACAATAGCATTACTATTAATAAAAGTCACAGAAGAGATTATTGCTGTACTTTTCCTCATAAACACCACTGAACTTTGTTGCTGTTACAAAAAGTACAACCCCAAGTTATTTTCTCTTACCGAATTTCATGTTTCACATATCTCTAAAGTTTTTATTCAGCAGAGAATAATTCTTAAATCTTTTCTGTAAGAATTCAAAGTATTTAAATGTGTAGCTTCACATTATACATTTTGCCCTTCTTGTTTCCCAAATACACAGAAACAATATACATTTTTCTCAAAAATGAAATAAGATGCCCACATTAAAAAAATAAAGCCTACAAAAAAGTTCGAGAGCTAAAAAAGGTTATTCATATGGCACAAAGTGATCTCCTACTAGTCCAAAGTCCAAAACATTTAAATGAAGTCCATTTATATATCTTTTTTGCTTTTCAATGGAATACTACATTTATTGAGGTGAAATCACATTATATTTAGCTCTTGCGTCAACAAGTGTACACAAATGTGTTTTTATATGATTATTAAAAATAGGAGACCAAGTTGAGTGTGCCAAAGAGATACCATTCAGTTGAGACTTTTGGAGTCACCAGGATAAAAACCAGAGAACGGATTTACTTGGTTGGTTTCCATAGCTTGATAGACCAAAAACAAAAAAATGGCCACAACAACAAACAGCAAAATTTTTATCCACATGGGAATGGAGCGTCCCTTTTTTGTCTTTTCAGGCTTGACATCTGCCAAAGGAATATACTTAGGAATATATTTAGATGAAAAAGATTCCTCCATTCTGAAATCACTGAATTCTAATGGCCGCCCCGCAGCCCCTTTGATTGGTCTGCGACAACTAGCACTGTTGGGAATAAAAGGAAAAACAGTAAGTTTTAAATAAAGTCATGAGTTACATAAAATTATAAAATGTCATTAGCACTCCTTATTCCAAACACATTCCTTGAGGTAACAACAGGTACTTGTCACATATAAACAGTGAGGTCAGTCAACCTATTTAAAACTTCTTTGATAAATATTCACTAAACTTGCCTTCTTAGAGGCTTTTCAAAGCTAATATATTTAGGAAATAAGAGAGAAGAAACACAGTAGTTTGGTTGTGATTCCTTCAGTCAGGAAATAATTCAACAGATATCTTTTCAATCAGAAAACAATTTCTCAGGGAAAACAATGATTTCTTCACTAGGTTTCAGTTTAGATTTAAAAATAGGAATTAAATAGTAAGTAAATGACTTATTTACAATCCTTCAGTTTAACAAAGTTAATTTTGAAACTGATTCAACTTTCCAGAAATACAAACTAGTGGCTTAGAGAAATTAAACTGCTGCAAACAAACAGTTTAATTCTGAGAAAACAGGCATAACTCTGTGAAGAATTAAAAATTAAAATTCCTGTTTATGTGTATTAAATGATGATGTATACCCTAAATTTATGCAATTTTATGTGTCCATTATACTTCAAAAAATGTGGGAATAAATAAGTGAATAAATAAAAATGCCCCAGTAGAATAGAATACACTAATACTTGTTTCAATGTATCTAAATACCTAATTCCTGTTGGTGTAGATGCTTCAAAGGGAAACATTTCCTTAAGAATATCCCTTTCTATTCTTCTTTCCTCTGTTTTTTCTCCCACCTAATAAGAAACAAACAAACAAAGTTAAAAATTAGTGTAAATGTGCAATTAAAATATATTTTAAATAGAAGTTTCAGAGAAGAGAATGCACTTAAATCTCTCCTAGCTTTTAATGGCTATTTCTAAATTCATTATCATTTAAGTATCCACACATTTCCATGGCTCTCTTCAAATTTCTTCAAAATTAACGTAAGTTACTGTGATAATTGGGGAAGAAAAAAAATCACGTCACATTAAAAACAAGTCAAAAAACCCCAAAAATTCAGTGCAGTTAATATGGCAGTATAAGTTCCCCCACTGGACGTCCCATGCTTTTCATTAAGAGTACATTGTTTCTTCCTCTATTAAAAATTTTGTAACAAGCCCGACTGGAGTAGCTCAATTGATTGAGTGCAGACCCATGTACCTAGAGGCTGGCCAGTTCGATTCTGGTCAGGGAACATGCCAGGGTTATGGACTCAATCCCCAGGAGGAGGACTGCAGGAGGCAGCCGATCGATGCCTCTCTCTCATCAATGTTTCTCTCCACCCCGCCTTCCTCTCTCTCTTCAAATAAAAACATTAAAAAAATATTTTGTAATAAAATGATCAAATATAGAAGGTATCAAATTTACATATATCTTTAATAAATTTTAGTATATTTTTATATATTAAATATTTGTATATTTTAGAACAGAGTAAATCTAATCTTCCTAACTTAAAAAACATAAAATACATACTTTTTAACAACCTGACTGTTTTGCTTGTTTACCTTTATGCCCCGATCAAAATAACCTTTGGTAAAAATTCATTGAAACTATAATGCATCATGCAGTTAGTACTTTAAAGCTTAATTATACAGGAGTTAATCAAATGAGGCATCATATGAAGTCACTTTAAAGTCCCATTATTTGACCTTTCAGTGAAAGATAGTATAGCCTCCATAACTGCCCAGTTACACTTTCAACTCTCATCCATAACAAAGAGAACATGCTATAAGCAGCACACGAATGAACCGCTCCCTTGAAAACTGGAGCTTAAGAGGCACAACACAGTAGCAGCAAGAAGGTAGTATTAGCGTGTCACACTGCATTGGTTACTTTTCATTGTCACTAATAAAAGTATGTCTTTAAAATAATATATGCATATACACACACCCCCACACACACCCCACCCAATAAAGCTCTGCTCCCTCCCACTCCAAAAAACAAATATAAGTATTTCCTCTTTAAAAGATCAATGATAACATCGATCTAAATTTATTCATTTACTTCAGCTCTTGTCATTGGTTTCTTTGGTGTTCTTCTGGGTATGTCTGAGAATTCAGTGATTGGCAGAATAGGAGCTGCATGCTTGAAATTTCCAGTCACCCTATTGACAACCTGCCAAGATTCAAATTATTCAGACTCAGAATTATCCAAACATAACAAAGACATGTGAAAAAAAGAAAAAGATATTTTATTTCTGTAATATTTGAACTTTCCCTTAATAAAAATTTAGGCAAAAGGACCCAGAAATGAACATATTCAGTGGTTCTCATATGTGAAGCCTTATCATGCTTTAAATATTTTAGCAAAAAAGTACCCTTATACTACTTTGAATTCTTGCACAATGAATTAAATTTATATATATAAATCTGCTATATCGAAAAAATCTAAAATCCAGAATTATGTGGGGAAATAAGTTTAACATATAATGTTTTAAAACATGTAAGTTGAAGATTTGCCAAAATTTACCACCTCCCCAATTCTAATTAAAGGGTAATTTACAAAGAATACCACTTGTATAGTTTATGAAACATATTTACTAAGGTTTCGTTGCTTGAAGCCATTATAGTTTCAGCTATGGGAGTACTCTCTGAAATTATTGCACCATCTATACGAAAATGTTCTGAAGTATCCACCTGTTAGTTTGAAAACAAAACAAAAACAATAAATATAAAATAATCACTAAAACCCTACCAATCTGAAAACCCAATTCTAAGCAATAAGCCTTGCATCACCCTTTTCCTCGGAGTTCTTCTTGACCCTCTTGTGGATTCCCTAGTTAATGCCTGCAGAGGTCCGCCTTTTGAAGATCCACTTGTCCAGTCAGTCTCAGATATTCCAGCTTGAGAATAGCTCTAATCAAGCATTGACACATTAAGAAGTCAGATTCTAACATCAAACACCTTAACAATGGCAGTCTCAGTTATTCCAGCTTGAGAATAGCTCTAATCAAGCATTGACACATTAAGAAGTCAGATTCTAACATCAAACACCTTAACAATGGCTATATTAGCACACTGAGAAGCCATGACATCTCCAGATGCCAGCATTTGCAAACAATGCTATGCCCTCAATATATTTCTATATGAATTGATTGAACTGATATGTAGGTATCAGAAAACAAGTACTTAACATATGGTAAAAATATGGCCAGAATCCAACTATAGAAACTCACAAATTATAATAGAAATGAAGGGAGAAAAAGTGCATCAATTCATCACTGATTCCTCCTGTGACTGCTGTGTGCTACTTGACTCTACTATTGCAGCTGCAGCTGTCTAAACAACGAGCAGGCTGAGGCTGAGCATGACTGACTTTCTTTGACTTATAAGAAAGTTATCTGCTACAAGTCAATTTCCTTTTAAAATAAAATACAAATTTTATAATTGTTAAACATTCTTTTCGTGTGGTTAGGATTATTAAATAGAATCAGTTTAAATTATAATCCGTGCACAGCTATCTAAACTTAAAAATTCCCAGGTGTCAAACACTTCTAAGACATTAAAATTAAACAACAAAAACCTGGTGTCACCTCTCTCGTGAACATGCATGCCTCCAGTGTCACTGCCAAACTTCACAAAGTGCTACCCGCTCCTCACTACAGAAAGGTAATAGTGTTACCTTCCAGTCCTCGAGTCGTTTCTCCCTGGAAAGCTGAGTAATTTTCCCTCATTTAAAAATAAGTTACCAGTTCTTATAAAATAGCTTGAAAGTCATTAGACTAGTGCTTCTCAAACTGTAATGTTTATCAACCAACTGGAGCTTTTGTTAAAATGCAGATTCTGATGCAGTGGCTCTGGGGTGGGGCCTGAGATTTTGCACCCCAAGTAGCAAATTACTCAACTTTGAAGCCACTATTACCAGATGATACTTTTAAATTCTTTTAACTAGAAAAGAGCCATCTACGATTAGTATTATATTGGAGTGCACTCATACTGTTACTTTTGCTTTCAAGCTAATATTTTATCTAGATAAAGGATTTTTTTTATATCTGAATCAGTGTCTATTAATTTTAAACATGAATACATTTTACTCTTATCCTGGGACAAGAGTGGTCACCCAGTAAGTGTGCTTATTTGGCTGGAAGTATTAGTACCAAACCCCACAAGGTACAGACACAGTCTCATAGGACTGATTTTGTAGTTTCCCTTTGACTCACAATCTGAACTTCTGAGTCCTTTTTCTGCTATCAATTAGAAAATTTTTGTTGAATGCAAACTTAATGTTAAAAGACGAATCTGTGAACAAATTACATATACATATAATAAATGCTTATTAATAGTTAAGTTCCTGATTATTTGAATAGAAGAAAACAATAGTTTTAATCTCAATTCTTGTGGCACAGTATCATCTGGGGAGCTTTTGAAAAAAATATCAAATGCTTCCAACCCCGCCTTAGACCAATCAAGTCAGAATCTAGAAGGGCCTGTGCATAGTAAATTTTTATACCTCCTGAGGAGATTCTACTGTGCAGCCAGAGTTGAGAACAAATCGTTTAAAATAAAATGATATAACTGATCTATGATGCATCCCATTGCTTCCTCTTTAACAATCAACTGCTCAATGCCAATAAAAATAATTAGAAGTATTTTAAAATATTCTAGTTTAAAATAGTCTATCTGGTATTATCAATGTATACTCAGTATTTTAAAACTCTAAAAATTTAAAACTACACTGCTTAAAAGGTCTAATCAAGTTACCATTTATGCAACTGATACAATATAAGACCAGACATTTTACCTAGGTCCATGAAGGTAGCGGGTCAGGGAGACAATGTCTTTTTCCTTAAAATTAGTTGTCTACCAAATTCCAGGACTTTCCATGTTATGTTTTATTTTGAATAAATAACTGAAATAATCCCTTCATCAAAAATTTTTTTATCAAACATCTATTAAAACTGTTATGGTTAATAGAAAACGGCCAAGTACCATTTCATGATTATTTTCTTCTGTGGAAGGAAACATAAGAAACTCGTTGGTTACCTGTGGGAATAGCTGGGAACGAGTGGGGCGGACACGTTTCCCTAAAAGTTATTTATACTTTCCTTTGTTCAAGTTATTAAATTCTTTGGTTGAGGACTATCCACCAATTTTATTTTTGACCATTATTATCTGATTTAAAATTAATCTTCACTGCCCGGCCGGGCGTGGCTCGGCGGCTGAGCGTCAACCTAGGATCCTGGCAATCAGGGTTCGATTCCCAGTCAGGGCACATGCCCAGTTGCGGGCTCGACCAATGACCCTCTCATCATTGATGTTTCTATCTCTCTCTCTCCCTCTCCTTTCCTCTCTCTGAAATCAATAAAGATATATTTTTTAAAAAAAGAAAAAAAATTAATCTTCACAGAAAACTAATTGACAACCTTTCATACAACCAGAAAAGATATTCTGAAATTAAAAAGAATTTTTTTCTACCAGAATCCACTATAAGTGACGTCAGGAAGAAAACAGAATTAAAAACTTATAAGATTATAATTCAATATTATAACTACTCAGGAATATGATTAAGTAATTACTGATTGAAAAGAAGCTCACTGCTATGTAAAATTAGTAGTTAATGGGATTGCTATACGCTCTGTGGCCAAAACAAGAATTGCAATGTCATCTATTTTCAGCAAGATATTCTATAAAAGTCCTGAATTTATCATAAAGTCAACAGGGGGAAGAAACAAAAACCTTCTCACAGTGCCATTCAATAAGCTATCAGGTAAAAAGTTATTCAGAAAACTTAGGCAGTTGAGGCACATGACGATGAGGAAGCTGGGTTATTAAAGGGGCTAAAAATCCCAGTGAGTAAAATACAAGCTATAAACAAAAAATTTACATAAAACTAGATTATAAAAAGAAACAATCAGGTTAATTAAAAGCCACCTTACTCTAAAGGACTAACGATTTAGGTAAAATATGACCAATATGGTTATTTATATTAACTTTTTGAAAAAGCAGCATCATATTTCTGCAGAAGAAATAGGCACTCATATATTGCTGGTAGGAATGCAGAATGCTTCAAACTATTATGCAAGGGAATTTGGTAACATCTAGCGAAATCACCCAGCAATTTCACTTCTAGATTCCCAGAAGATAAACTGGCTAAAATATTAAATGATACATGGAAAAGGCTACTCATTGGTTCATCTTTGCATTACTCAAAATAGCATATAAACAAAAACAATCCGAATACCCACCAAAAGAAGAGTAGCTAAATAAATTACAGCACAACCATAAAATGCAGTACCATGCAGTGCTACAAAGCAATGAGGAAGATGGCTATACTATATTCTGATATGGGGTGATCTCTGAAGATGTGTGTTTAGATGAAAACAGAAAGACAGAAATGTACAAAATAGGCTGTAAGGTAAGTAGGTGAGCATAAATAATATAAACCAAAACTTAGTAAAAATGATTACCTATTGATGGAAGGAACAAAGATAGAAGCCAGAAATAAAACCACATGTGTTCTCAATAATTAAAAATATATATGAAAGAAAATTAAAACACATTGAAGTCAGATAAGCCTGCATTCATTAATTTGATGAATTCATAATTTATTTTCTTTCTAAAAGATAAGTACTCCTACCTCTACCAGCTGTGAAATCCTAGAAGAATGACAACACAGTAGGAATGAACACCTTAGATTCCAGATTGTAGGTAGCCTCCAAATTAATATTTTCTATTAAAAGTTTTAGGGTTCTTTAGAAAAATGGCTGATATGGTAAGAGGCAGGAAATATATATGAGCATGGGTCATCTTACTGTGGCAGAAAACAAGAAACTATCAAAGACCAACAAGATCAATAAAGGGAAACAGGAACCAACTCAGTAATTCCCAATGGCTAAAGATGGCACAATTTGAACATGAAAGAGGAATGACTGCAATTGATCATAAAATATATAAAAACCATACTATTGCCTGGCTGGTGTGGCTCAGTTGGTTCAGAGTTATCCCATGCACCAGGAAGTCACCAGTTCAACTCTGGGCACATGTTGGGGATTTCGGGCTCAATCCTCAGCAGGGACATGCAGGAGGCAGCTGATTGATGTTTTTCCCTCTCTCCCCCTCCATCTCAAATCAATAAAAATATATCTTTTTTTTTTAAAAAAAGAAAACCCCCCACAATATTAAAAGACGTTTATTGATCACCTTTTAAAGTGATTACAGCACTGCCCGGCGAGGCGTGGCTTAGCAGTTGAGCATTGACCTAGGATCCAGGAGATTGGGGTTTGATTCCCGGTCAGGGCACATGCCTGGGTTGCAGGCTAGGCAGCCGATCAATGACTCTCTCATCACTGATGTTTTTCTCTCTCTCTCTCTCCCCCTCTTTTCCTCCCTCTGAAATCAATAAAGATATGTTTTAAAAAGATAAAAATTAAAAAAAAAATAAAGTGATTACAGCACTTTGATTTGAAAAGTAGAAAAGATAACAAGAAGCAAGCGTTTATTCTGGCTCTTCTATATGAATTTTATTTCAAGGTAACTAAGCAGTTTATCAGGGAAAAAAGTTCTTTATAAAGAAATTCCAATTATAGTAGTAAAGGAATGAGAGAAATCATCATTTTACAACTTCAAATGAAATAATGGTTCTGGGTAATAATCATAAGTGGCTGTCAAAACCATTAAATGAAAGAGTGATACGGAACTTTAAAATGGATGGATTAGGCTTTCAACAGTTGAACCCATTTTAGCACAACCAAAGGACATTATGTGAAATGATGCAGTGTGAAGGCCACAACACCATGTATGAAATGTTCTTGTCAAAGAAACTGAACCTGAATCTAACCAACCCTATGTGCTGTCCAATATGGTAGTCACTAGCCACATGTGGCAATTTAATTCCAAATATCCAATACCCACATGTGGCTCGGGACAGCAAATAAAAAACATTTCAGTCATCACAGAAAGGTCTACCGCACTGCCCTACTATAAGTCTAAACTCCCAGGCTACGGGAAATAGAAGGGTATAGAAGAACAAACTAAATGACACTTGAAGAAGCCAAATCCAGAATGTGGGAAATTCTGTATCGCAAACCAACCTGGTTCTTCACCAAATAAATGGAGGGAGTGGGGACAGTTATAGAGGAAACAGCTAAAATTTAAGAGAGAAAACAAAAAACAAATATATGGAGTTTGTTTGGATCCTGATTTGAATAATTTAATCACAAGAGACATTTTTGAAACTGAAGGAGTTTAAACACAGATCAGGTATGAAAAGCAATTTTATTAAGATGATAATGGCATTGCATATGTGTATAAAAACAGCTTGTATCTTTTAGAGATATATACCAAAATTTTAATGTGTGAAAAGACATGTCAGAAATTTACTTTCATGTACTCCAGTGAAAAGCAAAACAAAACCAAAGAATTAAGAAAGCTAGAGAGTATGGGTGACAATGAAATAAAACTGGTAAGATGTTGACAACTGTTGAAACTCTTCCCTCCACTCTTTTACGTTTTAAATTTTGTATATAAGGCCACTGCCTAATTCTACCTGTCGTCTCCTAAATCTACTCTCCTTTGACTGTTTATCCTGTCCCTCAGTTTAGCTTCCCTAATTGAAACAATTACCCTTTAAACTATCTTTAATATCATCCTTCCTCCCTCCTTTTAACCTGTTATCTAACCTGTCTTGCATTCTTGCTAGCTCTATACCATCCTGCCTTCATATTCTAGGTCAAAATTCTCCACGCTTGTCTATTACAGTGCCCTTCACCATTTTCCTAGTTTCTGCACTAACTGTATCTTGCCTCACCCACAATAAAAAAGGTAATTTTCATCTAGAACAAGGATAGAAAACAGTGTAATCTAAGGACCAGAAAAACTTCAGAGTTGAGGGAAAAGTCACAGAAGGTTAAGACAGGCAAAAGTAAAGTCCCAAATCTGGAGACAAAGACACAAATATAAAACCATTCCTCTGCCCTTTAAAGAAATTATATCAGACTTGCTTAGGCACTTCCACCTTTTAAAATATTTCTCTTAGACAAATACAATATAATTTCACTTATAGGTGGAATCTAAAAAACATACAAACAAAACAGAAACAGACACAGAGAACAAACAGATGGTTGCCAGATGAGAGGGGGCTGGATGAAAGAGGTGAAGGGATTAAGGTAGTACAAATTGCTAGTTACAAAACAGTCATGGGGATGTAAAGTACAGCACAGGGAATTGTAGTAAATAATGTTGCAGTAACTATGCATGGTGCCAGGTGGATACTAGACTTTTTGAGAGGATCACTTTGTAAAGTACATAAATATCTAACCACTATGCTATACATGTGAAACTAATATTGAATGTCAACTGTAATTGAAAAATAAAAATTAAAAAAGATATAAAAACCAAAAAAACCCAAAATACCCCTCAAAAGCAGTATGACTGGCTTTGAACCATGCTTAGCACAGACTCCAACACAAATGAGACACTTATTAAACACTTGCTTTTGCAGTAAACACAGGCTACACTACAGACAACACAAAATTTAGATTTCTGATGCCATTTAATGAACAATGGATGAATAGTATTTAGTGTGCTGAAATCTGGATGTCAACTATTAACCAAAGGCTAGAACACAGGCAAATAAATTAGTGTTGCCTGGAGGTTGCTTAGACATGAATACAGCGACCATAAAACTAAAGATACCTGATTGTGCTCAACTCTTCTTTGCTTGAGTGTTACTGGAGTCTTTGCTCTGCCCTTTAGTGGTTCTCTCTTCTCAAGCTTGAGCTCTATTTTAGAGTCTGGAAATAACATTGGAGAAACCATTACTTTTTGAAACATAAACTACAACCATGTTAACATCAGTTTGGAACGCTGGCTTTAGGCACATTAATATGTAAAACAAGTTGTCTACTGGTATTACCTCAACAGACCAAAACAGTTTAACTGCAGTTATGTCTTTAAATAATTTTCCTTTCCATTCTTATTTTATTCCATTTCTGTTTGTCTCCCTCACTCCTTAATCTGATCACAACTTCCTATTCTCTTTCCCTTTTTCTGGGACTAATAGCCTGAAACAAAGTGAATTCAAACTGCACCCATGGAGGCTTTTCACTAAAAACAACTTAGATTTGGGAAAAGAACATTAGAATGAAAAAAACACCCGAATGGTACTAGGCTTCTAATGACAGGAAATGCAATGATGTATTTAATACGTAAGTGCAGTTAAAGTCTCCCCTACGTTCTTTGTTTGATGTGCTTATAAAAAGAACTAAGTACAATTGAGGAAGTAAGGAGGAATCTTGTTGGTAAAAAAGTACAGCCAATCACAGGCCACTTCTCTTCCTCCTCCCCGTAATACAAAGATAACATTTCTTTGGAGAGTAGTGCATATGTATTACTTAGCATACCACCATTATAGTTATTAACATAATAACTCAAGTAATATGTATGTCATTTTATAGGCTTCAGTATTCCATTCCCCTAGTCTTCATTAGAGCACCATTTGGAAAGCTGGATTTATTAAATGACTGATATAAATTTTAGTTAACGTCCACATTTTGTGGTCATTGATCATCACATAGCAAAATGTCAGTTACTTCTAAAACCTGTTACCAAAACCTTTACTTTCTTACCAGAGAAGAAATGGAGTAATTCTTAAAAGCTTAGTTTTGCATGAACTCAATTCAGTTGTACTAAAAAGTAATCAAGATAGCCATGTGTCTTGCTATCTATTCTAGCCCTAGTCAGTCCAGCGTCTACTTGCAAGTTTCCCCCAAATAAAGTGACTTTTATTTGTGGCATGACAGTTCAAACAGTTCGATCTTTATTTAGGATTTAATCAACTCTGTCCCCCACCCTCCCAAAGCTCCTATTAATAAATCTATCACATATATGTATATTTGGGACAATCCTTAGCATTATAAAATCTTAAGCTTTGTTAACACAGGTTCTAAGAATTAGAAAGCATACAAAGAACCCAATAGTTGAGCAGGAACTGATTTAAGTAAATAAGGTATCTGGTTACAGATTAATCCCTCTTACAAATTTTAAATTCCAAAAGCCAATAAAAACATGGTTCTCAAACAGAATAAAACAACTACATTTAGAATATTTTCAACTATACCCTAGTAATGTCAAGTGAGTTTCAATGATGAAATGATAAAAGGATGTTCATCCACAAATATCTAACTTATTTTAACTCCAAGAATTAAACACACATACAACATGTTGCTGGAGACCACACAAAACTGTTCAAATTTAACAACTTTATTGAATTTGCAGAAGCATTCTACAGTAATACATTTTTAAAGTCACATAGCACTTAGGTACATGTATACATGTACATTTCAGAAGACAAATGACAAATAAAATTACTCCCAGAAAGCTGCAAAGATGGACATGTATAGTCTAGGAATATAGCTACGAGTACCCAAGTATAAGTATTTTGCTTATACTTACTACTACTATTTCCATAAAAATACAAGCAAATTCGATTATCAAATGCCTCTACAGTTAGACTCTCTCATCTTACAATCATAGAAATGAAAACACAAGATAATGTTGTTTTATATAAACACAAAGACACTGGGGTACAGTATGATTTCTTATGACTTAAACACCCCAACTAACTTAAATTTGCTTTTAGAATTTAGATTAAACCTATGAACTACAACATACCTTGAAAGTGTTACTTTAAAATCCCCATCTTTCCAGTATCTAGTTCATCTAATAAAATACAGTGATAGTAAGAATGCACTATTCTAGAGTATTATGGTCGAGAGCAGTATTTCTCAAAGTGTGGTCCACGAACTATTTGCCACCAGTCCATGAAGAAATGAGGCACTTACAATAGAATGTAGGTGAGCACACCGTTTTCTCTACCAATAAAATTTTACCAAAACAATAAACCCCGTCACTGATCTAAAGTGTCTCTAGATTCGAATTCTGGTGCGTGCTTGTCTGTGGATCAGTAACAGTTTGACGACTGGCACGCTAAGTTGCAATCATCTAGAATATTATGAATGATACTGTAGACATAAGTAAAAAACAAACAAAAGTGAGAAAATAAAAGAAAAAATGTAGACAAGTTATAGAAAATAAAAAGGTATTAAGACCAGTGAAGACTCTGCTTATATTCTAGTTAACAGAATTTTCTTAGTTTTGAAGAGTTGTAAAATCTTAGGTAAAACAGGAGTGAACAATTTGAGATAAAACTGTGATCTACAAGGCTTTAAATTGTATCAGGCTTTATCTGTGCAACGTTTTAAAAAAGACAGTTCTATGTAGGCAATTACTTTAAAACTATAATTTGATGGGTAGAAAGAAGCTTGACACTTAGAAATTAGTCCCATATGGAAACTAAAATGACCTTAAATTTTTTTTTGGTTTAAAAGTACTTAAAATTTCTAGAAAATCTGCTGGGTTCCCGATGTCAAAGATAAGATGGGTGCCTTTATTTTACCTTTATTAGTGTTTATTTCCACGCTTTTTAACTACTTTGTGTACTTCTCCTCCAAATAATGTTCCACCTTTAAAGGGAGTAACAGCCAGCTTATTCTTAGAAGCTGGATTAATTCTGCAATCCTTTAGCCAGAGATAACGGCGACCTAACGTGGAAGATCCCATGGTATGGGCAGCCATCCTTACTTCATCAAATGCAGCTTCACAAAGAAATGAGGCTGAATCATATGTTTTGCTTAGAATCCCAAGTGCCTGGTGGATATGACTAGGATCTGAGCTGAGAATTTGTGCGGCCTGACTAATGTCAGCCTGCATAGCCCTAACTACAAAGGCAGTATGGGTTGCAATCTGCAATGCTGATGCTGCAGCTTCGTATGTTCTACAAAGTGCTAAGTCCAACTGTTTATCAGTTGAAGCTATCTGAATACCTGCTGGTGGAGTGGCTTCAGGAATTAACCCCAGGATTTCATCATCTACTTTTGGAACTGATAGTATCTGTGTTGCCTCTTTGGAAGAAATTGGATACTTGCATGCCAATGAAGGCAGCTGCCTGTCAACTTGCTGCCACTCCTCTTCAATTACTTTTAAAATAGATTCATGGAAAGGAAAAGATAGTTCTGGGGCATCTACTTTATCATGCTGTGATTGCTTAGGCATCTCTATGCCTAAGGTAGCAAGTGCGTGAGAGACAACAGTCTTGGCAAATGAAGACATCAGCTCAGACCCACGTATATTCTGAAATGCCACAGAGGAACCTGAATCCTTTCCCTCTTCTGACTTTTTACTGAGTCTAGGCAATTTTTGTGGAGGAGACAGGGAATCAGTTTCTTGAAACTTAGATACATCAATTCTCTTCCATATGTTTTCTACATCCAGTGAGGGTGTAGTGTTAGAAGTCCCAGGCAAACTACCTACCCCACTCTGGACCAACAGAGAATTGACATAATCTCTGATTGCCTGAGCAAGGGGTGGAGAAATTACTTGTGATCTCTCAGACTCTTCTAGTGTTTTCCTTTCACTGGAAAGAATCGACTGACTTGAACCATGGGACCTCTCAGTACATAATGGTTGAACTCCACTTTTCTCTCCACGGTAAATATTGTCTACTAAGTTTTTATAGCAAGTAGTGGTGGTTTCTTTAATCAGTGAAGGAGAAGCTGCAGCAGAGACCAACATGGCAGCGAGTTCATGCTGAGAAGATGTCGAAGAACTTTTCTCTAAATATCTATCATGGCTAGAACTGGAGGAAATAAACAAATTCCTTCCAGAGGCTAACTTCTGCAACTGTTCCCTGCCAGGCAAGGTTGTGGCAATAAAAGGCTCCCTAGGTGGGTCTCCCTTAGAAGTATGTACTTTCTTAGCTGCCTGTAGTTCAGTCCTGCCCAAAGGAGGACGGGGGGAGATTTCAGGAAAAGAAATACCCTGAAAAAATCCACCAGAGGGAGTAGTTGGAAGTTCAGAAAAAGGAACAAAATCCCTAGTGGACTTCACTTTCTTGTGTTCTTTCTTCTTTCCTGTAGAGGCAAAAGAGGCAGGAAGTTTAAGCATTACTTATGTTTAAGCTGATTTTATTCTTTGCCTCCTTGCTAACATAGTGCTGTTGAAGGAAAAGGCTCTATTTTTTCATATTCTGAACAACCAATTTGACAGACTATGCCCTGGCAGGCAATGTTTATGGAAGTATAAGCAATTTGGGGAAAATTAACTAATCATGAAATAAAAAAACATCATAAAAGTGAATTAAACATATGTAATATCAACTTCTTCTTATAAATTTTAAAAGGTCATTTATTTCTTATACTATTTTATAAATTTCTAAATATCATGGTCAAATTTTCTTAAAATAGTCTACTAAAATCTGTCAAAATATTTGTTCTAAAGTTGCCATGAAATCAGATTATCTAGCAAAAACTAAATTTAAATGCCTATCAACAGAGAACAGAGAAAACATGCCACATGTAAATACTAGTTACATATTAATTACAAGGAATAAAACAAACATGTAATAAATCAATGAGATCTTGGTAATATAACAGAATAAAGAAAAGTGACAGAATTTAGCAAGATATTGTTTACATAGATCCTTTAAAGTATAAATACCAGGTATTAGATAGATGGCTATAAAAAAGTATTTTAAAATGGGCTGGAAAGATAAGCATCAAATTAATGATTGTGGTTGCTTCTATGGAAATGATACGCGGAAAGGGGTAGCTGGGGAAACTGTCTATTTGTAATACTTTATTCTCTTTAAAAAATGAGATTTGAAGCAAAAATGACACAGAAACTTTGGTAATTTTAGGTGATAGAAAATTAGACACTTGTACTTTTCTGTTTCTTAGAGTTCTCAACAAAAGCTATTTAAATCAAATTTCTTGGAAAATTAATGATATGAACAAAAACTACAATGTCTTGGTAATATTATTTTAAATTTTATCTTCTTCATGGTTACTGTATCTTATGAGTCTGAAAAAAATCCCATATATTTGATTAACATCATTTAAAATTTTACCTTCCTCGTTGTCACTGTATCTATCAGAGTCATTACTTCCATTCTGTCTTGTATTTTCCGCTGAAGAGGAAATTGTTGGCAAAGGAGTAGAAGACCTTGATTCTGTTCCTTGTTCCCTCAGTTTCAACAGCTTTTTCTCATACAGCTTCCTGGTCGTTCCTGCATTAAGGCAGAACTCACTTTAGTACTTACATCGTCTTATTTAAGATCCAGCTCAGACGTTATCTTTAGCAATATTGAAATGTTACTTTCACTCTTCCTTTTCTAAATTTAAGTGCTTAAAAATTCTAAATAGCCCAGCCGGGCGTGGCTCAGTGGTTGAGCATCGACTTGGGATCCAGGTGATCGGGGTTCGATTCCTGGTCAGGGCACATGCCCGGTTGCTGGCTTGATCAATGACCCTCTCATCATTGATGTTTCTATCTCTCTCTCCCCCTCTCCTTTCCTCTCTCTGAAATCAATAAAGATATAAAAAAAAAAAAAATTCTAAATAATGCTAAGAATCCCAAAATATCAATCAGAAAGAATATGTGCACCCCTATGTTCGTAGCAGTGCTATCTACAATAGCTAAGACCTGGAAACAGCCCAAGTGCCCATCAGTAGTGAGTAGATAAAAAAAGATGTGGTACCTTTACACAATGGAATACTATGCAGCTGTAAAAAAGAAGGATCTCTTACCCTTTGAGACAGCATGGAGGAACCTTGAAAATATTATGCTAAGCAAAATAAGCCAGTCAGAGTAAGACAAATATCACATAATCTCACTCATATGTGGAATTTAATGAACAAAATAAACTGATGAACAAAATAGATCCAGAGACACAGAAGCTTGGAACAGAATGATGAATCTCAAAGGAAAGGAGGGGCAGGGCGGGAAGAGATTAATCAAAGAACTTACATGTATAACCCATGGACCCAGGCAATAGTGCAGTGAAGGCCGGGTGTGGGGCACAGGGTGGAGGAGGTCAATGGGGAAAAGGGGGGGACATCTATAATACTTTCAACATTAAGATAAATTTAAAAAAACACTATATAATGAATTCCTTTTTTGTTTTTGTTAATCCTCACACAAGGGTATTTTTTCCATTAATTTTTTAGGGTGAAAAGGGAGAAGGGGAAGGGGGAAAGGG